CACACACACACACACACACACACACACACACACACACACACACACACACACACACACACACACACATACACACACACACACACACAGACACACACACACACACACGCAATCCACATGCTCCATGTACAGATATTCATTATCCGGACTGTAGAAATGGAACGGCTTCTGAATCGCATAGAGGTAGGCCACGCTTGTCGAACCACGAGAACGTCCCCTTTCTGCCCATTGCTCAAATGCGACGGGGAGCTGTTGGTTGGGACGTCCTGATCACAACCAGCCCCAGTTTTCTTCAGCAAGATCTTCGAACCACGCTGTCACTCCCATGGCAAGCCGCCAGACATCCTGAACAATCCAGTCCACCCGCGGGTCCACCGCCTCGTCTTCGCAAGGAGATCGTCGACCCTGTGGCTCGAACAGCTTCGTGGGCAATTCAGCAACCTTCTTAAGGTGCTTCAAGGCACAGATCTCTACGACCTGCGCTTCGGACAGTTTGTCCTTCAGACCCCATGTATTGAGAAGACTCCTCAGCTCTCCCTCTTTGATGGCTGGAGCAATCTTTCGCACGACATCCCAGCTGATTCGAAGCCATGTTTGCATGCGCACCTGCCAGTTGAGGTCGTTCTTCCAGCTCAAAGCGTTCGCATCACTCTTGCACACGTCGGAGAACAAGCATTTGAGAGTTTCCCGGATGACAGCGTCGACATGCATGACCTTTGTCTCCAGTACGTGCCTTCCTTTCTCCTCGTCTGGAACAAGCACGCATCCTTCATCGGAGCTCAAGGTCGACCAACATCTCAATGACTCGTCAGCAGACAACCAATCAGTGTCACTGCTCGCGTGAATGCTATGGTCGGAGTCAAGAGAGGACGACCAGTGCTCTCGTTCCGAGCAGTAATGAGGGCGCCTGCCAATGCGGTGGCGACGATGACGGCTTCTTCTTTTCCCATCAGAATAACAACAGTCAGAGGAGCAACCTGAGAAGGAACCAGAACGGGAAGAGCTCGTCAACGAGAGAATGCTGCTACTCGTTTCCTCCGAATCAGAGAAAGAATAATCAGACGACGAAACATGCTTCAATCGGTGCGACTTCCGCTTACACTCTTTTTCCTTCTTTCTCATCTTTTCCTTCTGCTGACGGGGCCGCCTCCTCTTCGCGAGTTTGTCACGAGCATGTTCCTTCACAACCTGAAGGTAACCGTCCACGTCTCCCGATTCCACCTTCCGCTCGATCTTCCTGATTACACGATACAAACTCAGGGCACGGCGTGGGAGTTGTTTCCGTACTCGTAGCTTTCGGAACTTGACGTCCGCAATAGCCTGGATAGCAGCCAGAATGTGCTTCCCTCCCTCCATCAGAGTGCATGCAAGCGACGAGCGGTGCTTTGTGGCCTCCTTCAGAAACTCTGCAAAATTGTGCAAATTGAGAGCCAGCAAAAGCCCAGGATCAGCCATGAGAAATTCGCAAACAATACACGAAAACCAACAGACACAACGAGAAAACCATCGACACCGGCTACGCCAGCGCGTGTACTGCCATGCAAGCCAGCAACGACACATGAAGATAAAAGTTAAACTCAATCAGAAACAAGAAACCAAGCAGGCGAGCGGGAACGACACAGACATTCGAGAAGGCCGAGAGAAACAAGGAAGCAGATACGCACACACACACACACACACACACACACACACACAGATAGATAGATAGATAGATAGATAGATAGATAGATAGATAGATTAGATAGATAGATAGATAGATAGATAGATAGATAGATAGATAGATAGATAGAGATANAGATAGATAGATAGATAGATAGATAGATAGATAGATAGATAGATAGAGAGAGAGAGAGAGAACAGAGCATACTACAAGAAATCGTGGATGCCGTAACCTTTGCTGTTCACTACTAATTTTATCGATGCCTGGTACTTCACAGCAACGAATACAGAAGTCGAGATTGTTACCTGAGATGTTTGTGATGAAAGCCAGTTCCTTTTCCGCAATACAGACGCTAGCTAGTTGATCCTTGGAGAGATCCAGAGCATCGTACATTTCCTCGAAACTGACATCGGTGGAATTGGCAAGCCAGAGAGCTTCTGTCACTCTCCCATGTAGCTCAACCATGTTCTCCGCCCGCTTCTTGACCAGCGACGCAGCAAGATACTTTCTCTGCGACTTTGTGGAACAGTTGTCTTGGGAGGCGCTCCAGCTGCAAAAAGTAACAGTAGACAAACACCGAGTCACACACGGACGACAGCCAGACCGTAGTCGGTCGTTATTTCCACAGCTGGTGCTCAGATGGTGCCACACGGTGCGCCTACTGTGATGAAGATGGCAAACAGCGATAATCAGCTTCGTTCCACCACTGGAGAGATGCGCAAAAGCGCAAGAGGACCTTCTCAACTCCCGTTTTTACTAGAACACAAATCACCCTGGCTATTCATGTATACAGGCGAAAATATGTTCGAGCAAGAAGGTGGCTCAGGAGACGGGAGTAGCGGTCGTGGGGAAAATCAGAGGGGCACAGGGGGGTACACGTTGGAGGATGCGGGGTGAGCAGAAATAGAGGCAAGGCGTTGGGATGATGGCACGGGGAGTTGTACAAGGACACTAGAGCATGCGTGCGTGAATACGAGCACCAAGGTAAAAGGCAGGAGGAAAATTGTGGGAGGAGCGTCAAAGAGGGAGGACCACAGCAGAAGGGATCTTACAGAGGAAGGCCAAAATGACGAGAGGAGAGGAAGGACTAAGAATGACGATGAGCGAAAGAGTGATAGGGCCACACTGCAGGTAAAAGGGGCTCAGCAGCAGGGAGGCAAGACAGGGGAAAGAGAACAGACTGGCAGGTGTGCGACGTACGACGTATACCAACCTTGAGGACTCGCCAATAAGATCTTTCGCAACCACGAGAGCTTTCTTGACGTCACGTCCATCGGACGACTTGGAGCAGAGAGCTGCGAGAAGCTCCTCGTACTGCGAGAGCTCCTTCCGAACAGGCGAAATGCCATCGCGCAACACTTCCTCATATAGGCGATGGACTGTCCATGCGAGCACATCTGCAGACACAGCCTCGCTGTCGAGGATCGGCTGACTGGATAAATGAGAGCGGCGCGAAAGAACTAAGTCGGCCACCTCCTTCGAGAGCTCCTGCATCATCTCCCAGCCATTCTTCAGCGGCCGCTCCCACCAGTAAGTGACCATCGTGCTGTACTGGTGAGCCGGGCTGTCATGAGACCGGCCTCCTTTCCGACGCACACGATGCAGGGAAATAGACTTGCCATCCTTGTCTATATTCTTGCTGTGAGCATGCTTCTGGCGAATTCCCCGCTGCTCGCCCTCCCGCTTAATGGTGACTGTCGCCACCACCTCCCCCTCCTCCCTGTGCGGCAACCAGCTCGTATTTTCCGGCCTAGCAGTAGCACTAAATGGAATGATGCGTGGTTGCAAGAAGTCCCCTGCCCTTTTGTCAAGCTGCGTGTATTGACTTTGGTACGGCTGCGCGGAGTAGGAGTGGTCAAGCTGGTAGTCGGAACTCTGATCAAAATAATGGCTCGCCGATGACCCGCCGGCTGCCGCCATGGCCGTCACTTCGCTAACCTCTACGCAGTGCTGATCGACCTCCCAGAAATGTTGTTCAGACGGCACGCCGCCTGGCACATAGTAGTCGTCAACAACCTCCTCGGTCACAATGACCTCCTCCTCCCACTCTTCTTCTTCCTGACCCTTGCTTGAGTGTTTCTTGCCACCACCGCTTTTCTTTACCCTTTCCTCCTTGACCTCCTCACTGTATGTTACCGAAGAAGTTTGTTTGCCTCCTGAAGACGAACTGGATTTCGAACTCTTCTCTTGAGAACTTGAGCTTGACTTCTTTTCTGAAGACGAACTTGACTTCGAGGCTGAGCCCGAACTCTTCTCAAAGTTCTCCTTGCTGGCTGAAGATGAACTGCATTTAGAACCCGAGCTTGAGCTCTTCTCGTGCGATGAAGAGCTGGACTTGTGCTCCGACGAGGAAGAGGCCTTCTGCTCCGACGAGGAAGAGGCCTTCTGCTCCGACGAGGAAGAGGCCTTCTGCTCCGACGAGGAAGAGGCCTTCTGCTCCTTAGACTTGTGCTCCTTCGCCTTGTGCTCCTTCGACATGTGCTCCTTCGACATGTGCTCCTCCGACTTGTGGTCCTTCGACTTGTGGTCCTTCGACTTGTGCTCCTCATGCTCCTCCTTGTGCTCCTTGGACGTGTGCTCCTTGTGCTGCTCCTTGCACTCGGACTTGTGCACCTCCTTGTGCTCCTTGGACTTGCACTCCTTGTAATCCTTGTGCTCCTTGGACTTGTGCTCCTCCTTGTGCTCCTTGGACTTGTGCTCCTCCTTGTGCTCCTTGGACTTGTGCTCCTCCTTGTGCTCCTTGGACTTGTGCTCCTTGCACTCATCCTTGGTATTGCCCTCCTTGTACTCCTTGTGCTCCTTGGACTTGTGCTCCTCCTTGGACTTGTGCTCCTCCTCCCTGGACTTGTGCTCCTCCTTGGACTTGTGCTCCCTGTGCTCCTCTTTGTGCCCCGTCGACTTGTGTTTCTCTTCGGACTTGTGTGACTTGCACTCCCTGTGCTCATCTTTGTGCTCCGCCGACTTGTGCATCTCTTCGGACTTGTGTTCCTCCTTCCGTGATGCCTTCTCCGCATGTCGCCTGTCCACCTCCTCTCTCTTCTCCTCATGTTTTTTCTTAATCTCGGCGTGGTGTCTATCTACTTCCGCCCTCTTCCTGTCGTGGGCAATTCTCTTCTCTTCCTTGGTCATCTTCTTGCTGGTCTCCCTACTCTCGCCGCTTTCGTGCCCCTCGTGTTCCTCCATTCTCGTTCGCCTTTTAATGACCCAAGCTTCGTAGTCGCTTCCATCCTCGGAACCCGACCCCCTATGCTTCCGGCACCTAGTCCTTGTTGTCCTCCGAACACGTTTCTTTCCTCCACACCCATCCGAAACTTCAGTCCACTCATCCTCGGAAGAACTCCCGCTGTGATCCTTCTCTTTCTTCTCTTTCTTCTCCTTCTTCTCCTTCTCCTCTTTCTTCTCCTCTCTTTTCACCTTTACCTCTTTCGAAATCTTATGCGAACTCTCCTTGCTTTCCTTGCTCCCTTTACTCTGTTTACTCTCCTTGCTCTCCTTCGAGTGCTTCTCCCGCTTTTCTCGTCTTGTAGTCCGAACTCCATATTCACTGTCCTCATCGGAACCAGCACCGCTGCTCTTCCGTCGCCTCCTTGTCGTTACCGTCCTATGGACACGTTTCTTCCCGCCGTGCCCGTCCGACACCTCAGTCCATTCATCCTCGGAGAATCCTTCCACAACTTTCCTCAATTCTTTCTTGTCTTCCTTCTTCCCCTCTTTTGTGTCCTCCTCTTTCTTCTTTTCCACATGGGTCTTCTCCTCTTGCTTCTTTTCCACAAGGGTCTTCTCCTCTCTCTTCTTTTCCACATGGCTGCCCTCCTTCGTGTGCTCGTATGAGCTGTCCTTCTTGCCGGTCGAGCTCTCCTTCTTGACGGTCGAGCTCTCCTGTCGTTTACGCCATATGGAGACCATCGACTCATCCTCACTGTCGACCTCTGAGTCATGGTGCTTAACTTGTCGCGTTGCCGTCGTCCTCCTCACTCGCCTCATGTGCCCGTACCCATCGGAAATCTCTGTCCATTCGTCCTCCGAATCGGACCGCCGCATTTTCTGAAACAGCACCAATTCCAACGGACACAACCGTTCATTTCAAAAGACTCTATTCGAACAGAGCGTTTCTTTGTTTTTAGGAGTAACAGCCATGAGATACCGTCTTTGGACTGGGGTTAAATTCAGAGTTATTTTTCACTTATCTGGAATTCGAACTCAGATCCGTCCTTCATGGCTGTACCCACTGAGCTACCTGTATACTGTATCCATCCGACAACGTCAGCAAAATGCAGTTGCAGCTATGGGGCCGCCTCGCTGCACTACTCTCCAAATGCACAAACGGAGAATGAATCTTCTACTAGAACATGGAAAGATACACCACCATATTTTGTCTTTTGTGCATGTGGAGAGTAGCGCAGCTAGGCACATGCTCTATCAAAAGAAACTGGGTTGCAGGAAAGTGTGGCCCGCAACTGATTTTCCAAAGACGGGTTTTGGCAGGCAAAAAATTGAAAGAAAGATCCGTTTGCAAACACCAGGCCCGTTTAGCCCAAAATCTGGTCCACAAATTAGACCGCGCCTTATACTTGTACCGTTTAACCATTTGTGGCAGAGAGAGCCAGGATGCAGGAGGTCAATTCAAAATACAGTGCCCGCCCACGCGCGCCGGCCAGCAGTGCCTGCCCACGCGCGCCGGCCAGGAGGCACGTGAGCGGCCTCAGCCCGCATGCAGCGTGTAGTGCCTGAAAACTACACGGTGTGACAGTGGAGCGGGAATTGTACATCCCCAATATTGTCGTCCATCATGGTAAAAATCGTGCAGCAAGTGAGGGTGCGGCCGATCTTCGCAGGAGGCCATATAGAGTGCTGCCTTTGATCTCCGCAAGCCAAATAAAGGGCCGGCCCATGGAAAAACAAAAATCCCCACACTCGGCCCAGAGGCATTTCCTGAGCAGTGATTCGAACCCCAAGTAGGCCGGCCCAGTGATTTTTTTCTTTTTTCTTTTTGCCCAACCAATTCAATTACCTGTCAAATCTGGACAGGACGGCCTTTCAGGCCTTTTTTTATTGTCATTGTAGTATTACGGGAAACCCGTACCAGCCACATCCGTGCTCAAGCCTCCAACGAGGGAACATGCGGGAGCTGCACCCACCAGCAGGTGCGATACCTGCTCCGGCAGGTGGGCGATACCGGCCAGGGGTCAGCCGGTAGCATCAGGACCCAGCTTCTTCGATGGGCCAGTCACTGTGCCTTCCGTCCGGTCCCTTCCCCCTATGAACATCAGCAGTCTCTGCTCAATGCCACTTCGGGGGACCAACGGCATATCTCTAGGCGGCGGGCGCCAAGGTTGCCCAGGAAGATACATGAGGCCAATGGGGATTGAACCCAAGACCTCCTGAATGCCACTTGCGTGCCTTAGCAACTGAGCTTGGCCGCTGGATTCGGCCCAGTGATTCGAACCCCAAGTCTCTGAGAACAAAAAAAAACCGGCGGATTTGAACTATCTCCTTTGTGATCCCTTTACTTTCGGCCTTCCTGCACTACTCTCCACATGCAGAGAAGACAAAAAAAAAGGCAATGTATCCGTTCATGTTCCAGCAGAAGAGTCAATATAGTTTTGCACATTCGGAGACACAGATCTCACACTCCTCACTACAGTTAGGGCTTTGCTCCACTACTCTCGAAATGTGCACAATGAGTGAATCTTCCACTAGAACATGGAAAGATACATCGCCATGATTTTTGTCTTTTGCCTAGTGCAGCCAGGCCCTTACCGAGGTTCCTACTCCACATACCACAGGCAAGGGAGAATATCAATAGTGTCGAAAATCAATAGTGTGCTTCAGCCTCAGTACGGGGTGATCTTGTCTGCACTACAGAGACTGACAGATTCACGGATCTGCGGCGTGGACCCACGACCGCCCCATGCCCTATTTCAGACCGTTTCATAACTTTTCAGTCCATCCAACCAGACCCCGCTTTTCAGAAGGTGGCTAACTACACGGCCCCCTCACAAAGGGTCTCGCTCCACTACTATACACTCTCCGAATTTGGAGAGTTCGTCATCGCTCCACTTACTGTACAGTATACACGTGCCAAATCGCTTGGATAGCTGTCAGATATCGGTCGGAGATTGCACTCTCCGTCGGTGTATAGTTCCCAGCCTGCAAAAGTCGTTACTCGGATACTCCTCAAAGGAAACCACAGACCCACTGCGTTTTTGTATGGTGAACCTCAAGTCTGGACGGACAAACTGCTGTCTTCTAGTGCTGTTAGGGTGTTGCGTAGTGAACTCAGGAACTGGAGACTTTGTATAGCAGATAGTAAGTGGAGCGGCGCCAGGTTCTATACATTTTTTCGCGGTCTGGCAGCTAAATTGTGTATAGCGGACAGTAGTGGATCGAGACCCAAACGCTGCCTTCCCTCCTCGCGGAAAACAAATGGGAAAATGCCATGCATCAATGGAAGAGGCCCAACGTTTCTAAAACACGCGTCTTCAGCATATACCGCCCTATCCACAGCCTCTGGACTAGGGCCTGTCACACCCTCCGCACAACTACACTACAAGCTGCATGTGGGCCGAGGCCCCCGGTAGGCATCGCTGTCTGTGTATAGGCGCGTGCTCTCTCTCACTCTCTCTCTCTGTCTCTCTCTCTCTCTCTCTCTCTCTCTCTCTCTCTCTCTCTCTCTCTCNACGCAGTATTTTGGAAGCGGAACTTTCTTGCAAACTCTCTCTCTCTCTCTCTCTCCTCCTGTCTGTTTTTTCTCGCTCTCTCTCTCTCTCTCTCTCTCTCTCTCTCTCTCTCTCTCTCTCTCTCTCTCTCTCTCTCTCTCTCTCTCTCTCTCCCCCTCCCCCCTCGCTCTCTCTGTCTCTCTCTCTCCTCTCTACCCCCGATAAGCTCAACGACGATCTGTTTTCTTTTCTTTTTCTTTTTTTTTTCTGTTAGCAATGGGCGGTGGGAAGACGCAGTATTTTGGAAGCGGAACTTTCTTGCAAATACGGGTTTGGGCGACATTTGTTCACCGCCATACCCGTTTTTTTTCCTTTCTTTTTATCCCCATCAGTTTTTTTTGATAGACCGCAACTCAACTTGCACTTCGCTGAAGCTATCGCTTTTATTAACTATTAAATCTCCATGCCATTCAGCCACACGGCATGGGTCAAAGCGTGCACTTTTATTACGACACGGGTCCGGAAACAGTGTCTGAATTCCGAGCGCTCCTTCGTAAACGGAACCACAGTTCGCTTGCCAGATATCTATTGAAAGCAAAGCTGATTCAAGTCAATGCAGAGACGGACAAAGAACTCAGGACTGAAAAACACTGAGCAACCAGAGAAGTGACACCGCCACACGTCCCATTATAAAACTCCTCTGCAGGGTTAGACGCAAGCAAAATATTGGGATAGATGGTGGAATGGAGAAATCAAACCTCCTCTCGTGAGACTAACGACAACAGCTAGCCATAACGGCCATAACAAGCTACAAATTATCTTATCGTCTCCAGCGTTGCCTTCGTATTGCTGCACTGCAGCAAATCCCATCCCATTAACAAAAACGAAAAAAAAAGGAAGACACAATCATGAAGCAAATACGCATTTGAGATATCCAGAGACGTACCCTCATCGTTGTGGTCATCTCCTTGGTTCCTTTGCGGTGCACCGAATGCTTGTATTCCTTGTCGTCGCAGATCATGTGGTCCTCCGTTTCGATGTGCTCCTCGCGAACATCCTTCTTTACCTCCGTGTGTCCGTGCTTCTTGTACCCCTCGTAGTCCTCCAGCAACCCATCGCTCTGTTTGTGTTGGTGCTCTGACTGCTGTGCTTCGTCCTCACTTCTGTGAACCACGGAGGTGCTTTCATCGACGATGTTCACGTTGCCTTTATATTCCTGCTTGCGCACTCCCTTCTCCGTTCCGTTCAGCTTGATATCCTTCGTTAACTGGCCGGGTCTGACATATCCTCCGGAGCTGACATATTGGACCTCTCCCTTCTCTCTTCCTTTCAGCTTGATATCTTTCGTTAACTGCCCGGGGCTGACATATTCCCCGGAGCTGACATATTGGACCTCTCCCTCCTCCCTTTCTTGCAGCTTGATGTCCTTTGTTAACTGCCCTGGTCGCACATGCCCTCCGGAGCTGACATGATGCACCCCTCCCTCCTCCCTTTCTTTCAGCTTGATGTCCTTCGTTACTTGTCCGGGTCTGACATACCCTCCGGAGCAAACATATCGTACCCCTCCCTCCTCCTCTCCTTTTAGCTTAATGTCCTTTGTTAATTGCCCGGATCTGACATATCCCCCGGAGCTGACATATTGGACCTCTCCCTCCTCCCTTTCTTGCAGCTTGATATCCTTTGTTAACTGCCCGGGTCGCACATACC